GTTAACAACTTAATAAAATACATACCCTGAAATTTCATATGTTTTGTTCACTACAATACTCCTTGTTCCCAAAACAGTGACTGACACAGAGAGGGAAGTGGGGAGGGGATCCAATAAATTCACCTTGAATTAATGAAGATAGGTTTTTAAATAACCTAATAAAGGACAAGGAAAAAATCGCCTTCTGGCAGTACACATGGAATCCTGTACTAGAAGAAAGAAACTATCAGAGTTAAACAGGGAAAAGCTTTTAACCTAGACCCGTGGTTGGCAAACTGCGGCTCGCGAGCCACATGCGGCTCTTTGGCCCCTTGAGTGTGGCTCTTCCTAAGCCTTAGGAGTACCCTCATTAAGTTAATCACAATGTGCCTACCTATATAGTTTAAGTTTAAAAAATTTGGCTCTCAAAAGAAATTTCAATCGTTGTACTGTTGATATTTGGCTCTGTTGACTAATGAGTTTGCCAACCACTGACCTAGACCATGAAGCATAAACCAGATTGACAGACAGACGACAAGGTCATTCCAAGGTGAGAGGAATGAGCGCCTGGAGAACTACCCAGTACAGTGAAAGAATGACTAGTAATCAACTTTGTCAGGACCTCAGTGACCAAGTTCAAGTAGAGTAAGGAGAAGAGACTTAAAAGTTAGAGCTGGCCAGGTCGTAGAAGGAACTAGAGCACAGACAGGAGACACCAGGGCTCATTTCTCTCTCTCTCTCTCTCTCTCTCTCTCTCTCTCTCTCTCTCTCTCTCTCTCTCACACACACACACACACACACACACACACACAGATAATGCTTTAGAAGGTGAATCTGGCTTCAGTCAGATAGGATGTCAAGGTCCCTGAGGATGTCAAATGCCCACCCAATAAGTAAACCACAGAAAAACCTACCTCCTGAAACCACTAAACCTCAGGGTGACATTGTCATTTTAATACCCTGTATCTGCAGTGAGGAGATAAAGAGAAATGAGATGGCCTTTATGTTTACATACAGATTTAGGGGGGGAAAATAGACTGCGTGTTGACAATAAAAGAATGCTGTAATGGAATATTAAGGTGTCCTCCTGGTGCCTTGAGCTTTTTCTTTTTTTTTCATGCTTCATTTTAGACCATTTTAATATCATCCGGGCACGGGGAACTGTGCAAAGTCACAGTCGTGTAAGCCCCAGGAAGTCAGTGCTCAAGCAGAGGGGACACTCAGATCGTGTGACTTTTGTTACTGATAAAGAACACCGGCGAGTACATGATCGGCACAAGAAGGGCATCACTGAATGAAGCTTGCTATGTTTTACCTTTCCTGGATGCTTTCTCATTTCTTCTCAGGAACTGAGACTCACATTTTTTTCATCTGTTTTGGCTAATCCACCCCCTTCCCTTGGCAGTTACCTAGAGAGACGGATGTGAAACGATGCATACATCGCTGAGAGCTATGGGTTCATTCAACCTCCTTGGGTTGGCCTTAGAGACAAGGCAAAACCATTTGACTTACTCCAAAGCCAAGATCACATCCCCCCTTCCACAGACAAAACCCGAGATGACACACTGAGGCTGAAGTGTGGACTGGAATGTGCACTGGTCAGAAGAGATGGCGAACCCAGTCATTTTGTGGCCTCACATGGGGTCCTCAGCACACACCACAGAAGTCCACTTAGGGGCCTCAGAAATCCCCTGGTTCTTCCACTCCCACACCCTAGGAAAGCAATTACTAGGTCATGCCCAGAGATTAAAACAGCCACAGCATGAAGCAACTCCAGCGTTCCTCTTAGCGTCCGTATTTGCTTAAGCCTCCTTCCAGAACATGCCAGCCGTCAGGATTCCAGGCAGCGCTGAAAAAGCACAAAGTCCCCCTGCTTTCATCTCCGACTATTTTGACTGGGTCCCAGACTCTTCCTCTAAGTGGGGTGTGAGTTTTATTTTCATTCTTTCTCATATAAATCATACCTTCCTTCCATTTGCTGTCTCCTGTTTGTAGCTATGGTAACCGGGCAGAAAGCCTCTTCTAAACTGTGAGGAGAAAATAAAACACTATTAGGGTTCTTTTTTTTTCTTAATCAGAAATTGGGCAAATAAAATCATTGAGCGTTGAGTGGGGCAAGAGAAAGAACCAGCACTCTCTGAATGGATGAGGCGATTCAAATTAGCTTTGGCCATTGAGATATGCATTCTGATAAATCTAACGCTAATGAGCCTTTGGTTTTGAATTGTGCCAGATTATTATTGTGATAGCAGTGGTAATAGCATGATGAAACAATACAGGTATTATCTTCCTACTTCTGTGTGGTATCCTTTCCAGTCTCTTTTGAGAAAAATAACAAGAAGTGAGTTTATTTCTTGATGTCAAATTGAATAGGACAGAATCCAAAAGTATGAACTATTGTGAATTTGTAAAGTAGAACTTCAATAAAGCATAACTGATTCCATGAACTAAGTTCTTTATGATGGCTTCAGATACTATGGCAACTATGAATAAGAGGTTAAAATGCCCAGGATATTAAAAATACCACAAATGGCCCTAACGGGTTTGCTCAGTGGATAGCGTGTCAGGTTCGATTCCGGTCAAGGGCATGTACCTTGGTTGCGGGCACATCCCCAGAAGGGGGTGTGCAGGAGGCAGCTGATTGATGTTTCTCTCTCATCGATGTTTCTAACTCTCTATCCGTCTCCCTTCCTCTCTGTAAAAAATCAATAGAATATATTTTTTAAAAAAACATAAAAATACCCCAAATAGCTGGATGAATAAGAATCGCCTGGCAGTGTTTAAGCCATGTGGCGTTGTTAGCAGTGCGGAGATGGGTGCATTGGAACTTCCACATGTCAACATGAATTCGAGCATTCTTGATCATCTGTTATGTTCAGATATCACCATGGGGCACCTCTGGGATTTTCCTCTTCCTTCATCATTGCATAGGTTTGAGATCCTAGGATGCTTGGGGACTGAGATTGTTTGGTGTATGAGAGAAACACAGAACATGTCCATTGTGCTTGGAGACACAGAGACTCAATCAGGGAGGCCAATTAAGAAACATAAATAAACTAGGAGTTCTGCTTTGCCTCACATCATCTCATCATGGTTCAGAATGAATGGTTGAGCTTTATTACAAGTCAAAGAAGCAGCCAGATTCACTGATACAGCAATAAGATGAAGGGCTATATGTAATATAGAAGGGGAAGAATTGAGGCAACTATGATATTATTAGCATTATTATTTTTATTGTACATTTACTTTGCTTATCATAAACACACACACACACACACACACACACACACACACACACACACAAGCCTGACCGATGTGGCTCAGTGGTTGAGCATCGACCATGAACTAGGAGATCAGGGTTAGATTTCCAGTCAAGGCACATGCCCGGGTTAGGGGCTCAATACCCAGTGTGGGGTGTGCAGGAAGCAGCCAACCAATGATTCTCTCTCCTTGTTGATGTTTCTATCTCTCTCTCCCTCTCTCTTCCTCTCTCTGAAATCAATAAAAACATTTTTTTAATTTTAAATTAAAAACATACACATTAATTATATATGGGATATACATATGTGCTCTGGCTATAATCTATGAATACATTATAACATCTTTCTTATTCAATCCCAAATTAAACATATGAGATGGATACTCTCATTATCTTTATCTTATAAAGAAAGAAAATAAGGCTCAGAGAATTCTCATGATATGTGCGATCTTATGTATGTCTCTCTGTGGCAATAACTGACAGGTACATAGCAGGTACTGTCAGCCATTACGAAGCAGAGACCCCAAATGCCATGTTTTGAACCATTAACTAAACTCTGAGATTCTGCAACCCAAAGAAAAGACAAAAGAAGTCTGAATATGAGAAAATTTTGGCAGGTTCCAGGTCTAGAGAGAATTTTGTTGGAAATGAGGAATTGCATGTAAATATGTTCGAGATGGAAATTCAAGTGCACATGGAACCTGTCCCCTGATTGGATGCGTTTATCAACACCGATAACAAGACGATATGTGAATGTTTGTGTCGTCACAGCAGAAGTCATGGCACCGAATGCCCATCTACATGCAGAGGGTGGCAAATGTTTCCTATAAAGGCCGCAGAACTATTTTCAGCTTTGTGGGCCATGGCGTCTCTGTCATAATTACTCAACTCAGCCACTGTGCTGTGGAAGCAGCCGTAGACAGTAAATAAATGAATGAGTGTGCCTGGGTCCCAATAAAATTTTATTTACAAAAACAGGCAGCAGTGAACTTGAACTATGGTCTGTAGTTTGCCTACCTCTGCGTTGGAGGGCTAAGCTAACTCCAGGTCATTGGGGTTACTATAAAAGAGTGCTACAATTGCAACCAAGAAAAAAAAATAGATTTGAATCTTGTGTTTATAAAGGGAGGCGGTCAACATGGTTTTCATTTTTACTTTCAGTAAAAATAGTTCTATGAGCCTTATCACGACATACATTTAAACTTTGTATTAAATGACAAGAGGAAATGGATTTATGTTAAATGATAAAAAGAATTCAGTGATTCATTAAGAAGACCGTCTTAATATAATACAGAATATGTGTAATACAAATCTACAAGTATATTGTATATATAGTATACGCAATGGATCTATGACTATATTCTACATATACACTACATAGAGAATATAGTATAATAAGTCATGCACAACCCGGCCAGTGTGACTCAGTGTTTAGCATCAACCTATGAACCAGGAGGTCACAGTTCGATTCCAGGTCAGGGTACATGCCCGGGTTGTGGGATTGATCCCCAGTAGGAGGCATGCAGGAGGCAGCCCATCAATGATTCTCTCTCATCATTGATGTTTCTCTCTGTCCCTCTCCCTTCCTCTCAGAAATCAATAAAAATAAATTTTAAAAAAATAAATAAGTCATATACAGATACCAACATTTCCAATTCATTTTATCTTGTTAGAGCTTCACAACAGCAGGAAACTCCAAAAAAGGCAAAGATATCAGTGAAGAGATTTTTAACGAGAGGCCAAGTCAACTTCACCTGGACAGGACGGTTGGACGGCTTGAAACTTCAGTTCTCTCTTCCCCAGCAGACGGCCCAGAGGGAGAAAAATGGGACTTCCGTCACATTGTGCTGGAAATCATGTATCTTCTGTAAAATATGGGAAGGTCGTTGAATTGATAAACGAGACTTTTGTAAGCACGCTTCACAGATTCGATATTTGGTGGCCGAGGCTTTCCATTAAGCTTTCATGGGACTTAATAAATCAGCAGAAACCACTTACTGAAACGTTTTCATGGGTCCTGTGGACTTCTAAGCAAATATCAGGTTTAAGAATGAAAAGCCAGTTATATTTTCGACGTAATCTCGCGTTCAAAGACGTGTAAAAGATGCTTAAGTGTTAATATTTTATGTTTCCCTGCTCTCAGCAGTAATTGCAGCCCATTAAAAAAAATGCTAAGACCTCGCTATTAGCACTGGCACGGGCCCAACGCAACACTGAACCTTCACAGAAGGGGGTTAATTGCTACACGAAGAGGTAATTTATTAAGGAACACTGAAGCCCTGTATGGCCCCCGATGTGAGGCTGCACGGCGTAATCCTAGGTGAATATTACATTTGATAATCGAGGCCTTGGCTATGGCAGGCTTCAGAATGAGCTAAGCTAAACAAGCAGGGGAGGTTGAGGGGAGACAGGGGTAGAAAGAAAAAAACCCCACCACCATTTTTCTCCATGGCTCCCATAAACTTTTACTTTGGTGCCCCCGAGTCTGTCGCCCCCATCACCAGGAAAATTGGCTGCTCCATAAAATTCTGGGGGGGCTGATGAGAAAGGCTCATATAACTATCAGGTTGAGGAGCGGCTCCTGCTATTGTTTCTTTGTCCAGATCTGGGGCCTCTTCTGAGAGCTAACCTTAATTGTCACCATTTGTCCGAAAGGGTGTTTTTGCAGAACCTTATCCCATCGATGGAGGCCTTCATCTCCATCACAGTTTAGACCAGTGTCATGTGGCTCATCAAACACCGTGTGCAGAGGAAATAATGACCCCATGCATCCCTCGTCTATGGACAGAGTTTTGTTCTCAATCTAATGGGTGCTTTGCTGTGCCCTGAGCTGATTTTTGTCAACAGCAAAAAAAAAAAAAAAAAAAAAAAGTCATCAGAATCCAAAACCAAGGAGAAGCGCAAGGTGACTCTGAGCATTCGTTTTACCAAAGTTGCTGATGATTTTCTTGGCTCTACTGACAACCAAGGTGGGGGTCTCAGAGGATTAGAAAAAGAAGAGTCGTTTTTGCCTCTTTGTCTCTCTTTCAGACATCTCTAACAGCAAACTGACATTGAAGGAAAATTCCCTTGAAAAAATAGGGCAGAGAAGAAACAGTATAGTATCTCTAAAATGCATCATTGATGTATTCCAGCATTTTCTATTTTGTAGCTGGGTCCTTGAGCCACCTCTAGCCAAGCCCTCAATAAAGGAGTAGTGGCCTGCTGACATGGCTCAGTGGTTGAGCGTTGACCTAGGAACCAGGAGGTCACAGATTCCCGGTCAGGGCACATGCCCGGGTTGCAGGCTTGATCCCCAGTAGGGGGCATGTAGGAGGCAGCCAATCCATGATTCTCTCTCGTTATTGATGTTTCTCTCTCTCCCTCTCCCTTCCTCTCTGAAATCAATAAAAAAGATTTTTAAATAATAGTTTCTACAAAGTTATAGATGCCTTAAGCACCTCCTACCTTCATTCTCCCCTTCTTCAATATGCTCCAGGTTTGAAATAGTCTATCCTAGTCTAAGACTTTACCGCGACCATCCATGTATCAGATGAATGGGCCACTACGTCCACACCAGGGGACAGAACAAGAGAAGTTTCTTTCTCGGGTTCAGGAGACTGTCCGACCCACCAACCCCTTTTCATCTGCCACCAAGTTCCATTGCTGTTCTTTTTTATTAAATATATTTTTATTGATTTTTTTACAAAGAGGAAGGGAGAGGAATAGAGAGTTAGAAACATCGATGAGAGAAACATCGATCAGCTGCCTCCCGAACACCTCCTACTGGGGATGTGCCCGCAACCAAGGTACATGCCCTTGACCGGAATCGAACCTGGGACCTTTCAGTCCGCAGGCTGACGCTCTATCCACTGAGCCAAATTGGTTTCGGCTATTGCTGTTCTTGATCCTTTTCAATTTAGAGCTTGATGTGCGGGCTGCTGTGCTAGTACTTGATGGAAAAGGGGAGGAGGAACCACACTTTGTATAGAGCAAAGGTAGGGCAAGTCTTTACGTCAAATGAGTGTAATGCTTGTTCTGCTTCCCAGTACCGGGAGGGGAGGCACCTTGCCCTGGAGACAACCCCCTCCCCCAGGAAGCCTGAAGGCAGGAGTGATTCCTGCTGGTGAGAAAGAAGCTTGGATCCCCCAGGACACAGATCCACGTGACTTCCTAGGGCCTTCAAGGTGCTCTCCGTTCTCCTGTCTTCTCTTTCTGTTTAACTCCATCCTCATCTCAGCACTGTGTAATTAAGCATGGTAACTTCTATCTACACACTTATTTTTAAATATATTTTATAGATTTTCTTACAGAGAGGAAGAGAGAGGGATAGAGAGTGAGAAACATTGATGAGAGAGAAACATCGACCAGCTGCCTCCTGCACACCCCCTACTGGGGATGTGCCCGCAACCCAGGTACATGCCCTTGACCGGAATCGAACCTGGGATCTTTCAGTCCACAGGCCGATGCTCTACCCACTGAGCCAAACCGGTTAGTGCTAAACACTTATTTTTTAAGTCATTTTTTAGGTTTTTCGGTCACTTTTTCGTCCTTTTTATCTCAGGAGCACTTCCTAAATCAGAACAGTATACTACAGCGCAGCCTCTATTCGGGAATCTTTTTCACTTGTCCGCCATCCTCGGCAGATTTGAAAGTCATCGAAGATCACTGTTAAGGTCACACATGGAATGAAACATACACAGACATGAACACACACACACATTTCCAAGGGTTAGAGTCCGTCTCTCTCTCTTTCTCTTTCTCTCCCCCCTTCCCCTCCCCCCAATCTCTAAAGAAACCCTGTGTTGGATCTTATTTTCTGCAAGTATGCCATTGAGCAGTGTCTTATCTCTTTAATCTTGATGTTAATCTTGGAATTTCTCTGAAAGGAATTTTTGGGGTCAGTAAGATCAATACCTCTTTTCTTTCTCTTTCCTTGTTTGCAATTTTCTTTCTAAGGAAGTGGGAGAAAATGCAGGCAGATGAGTGGGTAAGGAATCCCAGAGCTGTGCATGTCACTTGGCCCAGAGCCAGGCACATGTGAAGGTCTCCACTTGCCAAACACACACCAGAGACCTCTTAAGCAATCAAGAACTGCTACATGTGTGCAGGAGCTGACAGCTCGGTCAAAATAGAAATCTGTGCTTCAGTTATCCTCCGTCTCCCTACATTTGCCCTCTGAGCTGCGGGGGAGGGGGTATGCCCGGCTGGTGTGGCTCAGTGGATTGAACGTCGTCCCATAGACCAAGAGGTCCTGGGTTCGATTCCCAGTCAGGGCACATGCCCGGGTTGCAGGCTCGATCCCCAGGGCGGGGGGGTATGTAGGAGGCAACTGATCAATGTGTCTCTCTCATGGAGGCTTATATCTCCCTCTCCCTTCCCTTTCCTCTCTATCTAAAAATCAATAAAAACATTTTTAATAAAAGTTGGGGGGAGGGGGGAGTATGAAGTCTCAGACTGGCAAGGACCATGTTTTCTGCACTGTAGAAGAAATTTTAAGTAAAAAACCAACATACAGGAAACAGCAAAGATAAGGGACACAGAAAGCAGGGCCTGGTCATTTGAAACACTGATTTCATTTGTTTTTAAGCTCTAACAGCATCCTCCTTCTTCCAATAAATTGATTATTTAAGCCTTCATTTGATAACTTGAGATGTTTCAGGATCGACCAATACATTTCCTCCAAGTTCATCTGAGTTAGGTTTCTGTCACTGGCAATCAAAAGAACCCAGAGCTGCCCTAACGGGTTTGGCTCAGTGGATAGAGCGCGTCAGCCTGCGGACTGAGGGGTCCCAGGTTCGATTCCGGTCAAGGGCATGTGCCTTGGTTGCGGGCACATCCCCAGTAGGGGGTGTGCAGGAGGCAGCTGATCGATGTTTCTCTCTCATTGGTGTTTCTAACTCTCTATCCCTCTCCCTTCCTCTCTGTAAAAAATCAATAAAATATATTTTTTAAAAAAGAACCCAGAGTAACACACAGCATTTAAAAGGCTTTCATTAGGATTAGTCATTTGCATAATATTGCCACATCCTGTTAAAAACACACACACACACACACACACACACACACACACACACACACACACAAACCAACACACAGAAACACATAGTGTTTCAGTAATTCTGGTTAAATGCACTGCATCTGTATTGTGTCAGGAAGAATGACAGCCAAGTATGTACCTTTTCAAACAATCTTTATTTCCATTTGGCACATGCAGAGGCTGAAATATTAACAGTGCATCCCAGGAGAAAACCTTCGCTCTGGAAGGTCTATGGGTGATAAAATATATTACATAAATACTCTGTGCTCCAGATCAGCACATTCTATACGTGTTTTTGTCCTGCTGGGAGTCACTCATTTCTTATGGAAAATGACCTGGTCCTCTATAATTAATGTGGGTGAAACTGCTGGGGATCCCTCTAAATCTCCTATTAGAAGCAGGTAGTGAATACCATCTTGTGTGTTCAAGTCACCCTAATTTTACTTACTAAGGCCACTTCATAGGACTTTACTGCAGTATACTGTTATCATCGTCCTGTTGTATTATCAGTTATTGCTGGCACTCTCCTACTGTGCCTAATTTATCAAATAAGCTTGGTCCCAGAGATGCATGGATAGGGGAAAAAAAAAAAACAGTATCTAAAGGGTTCAGTACTATCTGTGGTTTCAGTCATCCACTAAGGGTCTTGGAACATATCCCCTGCAGAGAAGGGAATAAATATAATATAGTCCGGCCTTAGCCGGTTTGGCTCAGTGGATAGAGCATCAGCCTGCGGACTGAAGGGTCCCGGTTCGATTCCAGTCAAGGGCACATGGCAGGGTTGTGGGCTCGATCCCCAGTAAGGGGCGTGCAGGAGGCAGCCGATCAACGATTCTCTCTCATCAT